CCCCCCCCCCCCCCCCCCCCCCCCCCCCCCCCCCCCCCCCCCCCACACACACACACACACCTGCTCAGTGAATTTTATTGCCAATATTTAAAAATTCTGGAATTGTGCTGCTTTTTAAAATGGACAGTATGCAGGTACCGCCGACCCTCCTCATACAGCTGCTCACCATAACTTCTACAAGAAGAACTATTCCTCCTCTACTCCTTGGTCGTTGATCGCTGATACCTAATCCACTTGGGTGACCAGATAATCCATGTCATCCCGGACTTAACAATTTAGCCAAGCGCAGGAGCCTTTCGGTTTTAAGGTAGTTTGTAAAACCTGAAGTAGCTCAAGGTGTCCGGGATGACATGGATCATCTGGTCACCCTATAATCCACTATCTTGCACATGCGCAGTGAATGCACAGAGATGAGCAAGGTTTCTGCTAGACATAAAAATCTGTGCTACACACAGAGTCAGCATCCAACCGCTGAAGAAGAAATTTATGTCACTTAGTCAGTGGTTGTTTATATTATCCATCCAATTAGGAAATGAGACACAAGGGAAGACAGAACCAGAGCCCAGAGCTGCCTGTCCTAGGCCTAATGTGAGAAGACCCTAGTTCAGCTATTAAATGTTAATGAATAACGCAGTGGCATGTTACTTCAAAGGGCAACATTCCTTTACAGACAGTGGCAACTGACCACTTGTGTAATTGCATAGATGAAAGTTACAACAACATCAGTTTTGGCTCTCAGGCTCCTGTCCAGTGAGTTATTAGCCTGTTTCATGTGGTACATTCCAAAGGCAAGCAAAAGTAAGTGAAATTGCTGTCAAACTATCTTTACTTGGCCATTCTTGTGTCCTCGTGTACCCATTTGATGTTATCTTCCATTGCTGAAGTCAGAGTCCTGCACCGGGTCGGGTACCCGCAGATAGTTGCTGAAACGGGCGGATTTTAATGTTCTGAAATTTTACGGGTGGGTATGCGGGCGGGTAATTCATTACACACGGGCGGGTAGCAGGTCAATCAAAACAGTATTGTAGCCTGCAAAAATAACATATAAGCGAAAATATCCATGTTTTAGACTATCATGTACAAATTGTCATCATCACAGTGTGTTCAGTATGTTGGGGGTACCTTATGGTGCTTTCGATTATTTCTCTCCAAGTCGGAACTTGGATGAAAACGTCAGGAAATGTCACGAAAAAAGTCACTTCCCGTCGGAAACACGCCTCTTTTATGAAGTTGATGTCAGACAAGATTTTGTTGTCCGAGTTGCCCCTGTGACGTAATTTCAACATGGCGGCTTACACACTCAACAGTAATTCTATTTTATAAATCTTTAAAAATATTTATTTTGTTAAATGTATTAATAGTTATAAATGTAACTGCACATGTTTGATTTAGAGAATACCATATCATGACCATAAACAGTATCCTATCATGCAATATCAGATTTTTACCAGACTTGTTAATGTCTTTGGTTTGTTTGTAGTTTGTTTGCCTCTCGAAAAAAGAATATTGCTATGAATGTGCTAAAATATTTTATAAAGCTTTTAGTGTGGTTTGACTAGTTTGTGTTTCTTGTTTGTCTCTCAGAAAAAATTCTCACTCCAAGTCTGCTAAAATAAAGCAACAACACACAGCAGTGTGTTCCTGGAGGTAGCCATGTTTGTTCCGAGATGTGGTAGCTCGAACGGGAGATTGTCGGACGTGATATCACTCAACTTGGAATTTCCGAGTTCCGAGAGAAAAACTAACACACCATTAGATAACCGCCTCGAGAAACATTCACATACACGTCTGAATCCTTGCTGAAGCATGTCGTCGTGTTGTCTCTTTCACGCTCATCACAGTATGGATAGCTTAGATCTATCTGATATGATTTTGTGTTAAACGGATTTTTTTGTTTCAATTCAAAATTCATGTAGGCCTAGCGCTTGTCACATTGAGAGGTGCATAGAAAAAATAATTGTGTGTAATTTATCACGGGTACGGGCGGGTAACAGGAATAATGTTAACGGGCCCGGGCGGGTGCAGATTTAACTTTGAAATAATCACGGGTGCACGGGCGGGTGTGGTGCTGTACTGTGCGGGTGCAGGTCTCCAAAAGTGGACCCGTGCAGGACTCTGGCTGAAGTACACTTCAAATTCTCAAAAAACAGAAATATGAGGGACTGTAAAAATCCCTTGATGTCATTCTTGCCCTGCCCCAAAAACCAAGGATGTATTGGTGTTATCCTCATCAACGAGAACAGTTCCATGATTCATTGCATCTCAAGTTCATTCTTAGGAGGCAAGTTAGCAAGAATGCTCTTAGCCAGAACACAAGCAAGATCTTTGCGTTCTTGGTATTGATAAAGACCTTACACTAGACTACACTTAGGGCAAATTAAAGGGTTGGTGCTGATACCAGTGCACTTCTGTGTTACAGGGGTGTGATCTTCACGGGGACCACCATCGGCATGGCGCCACTGGAGGGCATGTGCTCCCCGGAGAACTCAGGGGGAATCAATGTGGTGTGTATCCAAACGCAGCCTTCACTGAAAGAAGGGGGGTGAGGGATCTCTGGAATATCCTGTAAGACGCTGTGAGACATCCATGGGGAGGTGGAACAGGAGATGCCCTAACTGTCACCTCAGATTAAGGGAGCCTTAATATTGAGCTAGAAGAGCTGTGGAGAGGAGGTCCTGGAGGTAAAGGAAAGTACCCCTTAAGGGGCATATTTTACATCTGGAGGTAGCAGTCCTTTCAGGATGGAGAGCATGCTTCCATGGCTGGCTTACCTCTCTTCCCATCTTCCTGCTCGCATGGGTTTTAGGCCGTGCAAGTGAATGCTGGCCCTCCTCCAGGTCTGGTTGATTATTAGTCACCTGCCGTGTCCTGTTAGGACTCCTACTGGCTGATTGTGAGGAAACCATGGTTACTGGTTGCATGCGTGGTGCTGATTGCCCCCTGCTGGTGCATGGTGGATTCCCAGCTAAAAAAAAAAGGAAAGCTGACAATGAGGATTCTATATTTATGAAAGGTACAATAGTTACAGTGCCATAGAAATACTGATGATTTATGCTTTAGGAGCTTGGGTGACGACTAGCGTGATGATGTCAGGATCAGAACACCTTTGCTCCTCACTCTTTCAGGACCACTCAGACTTGCCCATCGGGGCAGCTGCCACCATGGCTCATGAGATCGGCCACAACTTTGGCATGAGCCATGACAACGAGGGCTGCTGTGTGGAAGTGACGGCCAAGCAGGGAGGGTGTATGATGAATGCAGCCACTGGGTACACGTTTCGTTAACGATGCTAAGCTAATATGCTAAGCCGCTGAAGCTAAGGCAACGCAGTGTCTTGACATGGACAAAGCCAAGCCATGAACATCAAAATGGCATAAGCATCATAATTTTAACACAGTAAATTTATCAAGAAACAATTACAGCTTCGATGATTTGTTTCCTTTATTTTATTATCTATGTAGTGCAGCAAAGATTAGTTCAGGTCTGTAAATATATCATACATATGTGAGTAATGCCAAACGACCACCAGAACAACATCAAAATAACTGCTGTATTGTGAATACTATTAATAATTCCCATCCTTAATATTTACAGTATGTGTAAATGTGTTTATCCCTCAGCCACCCCTTCCCACGTGTCTTCAGTCAGTGCAGCAAAAGGGACCTGGACAGCTATTTCCAGAAGGGGGGCGGCATGTGCCTCTTCAATATGCCTAACGTGAAGGAGCTCGTGGAGGGCATGCGCTGCGGGAACGGCTTTGTGGAGTCGGGGGAGGAATGTGACTGTGGGGAGCCAGAAGTAAGACCACTGGCAAACAAAACCTTTTCTCTCCAGATGTCTGATCAGGGATGAGCAGCTACAGTGGACCAGATTCAGCAAAAATCCCATGAATACAATTGTCTTTTCACTTATCTCATCTTGTCATCCACACATATTTATGTGAGAGCAAGTTTAGGGGTCACAGTGCAGGGTCGGCCAGCGGCCCTGGAGAAATTGGGGCTTAGGGTCTTGCTCAAGGGCCCAACAGCAGCATCAGTCTGCTGACCACGGGGTTTGAAATGGCAGCGTTTTCATCACAGGCACACAGGTATAATCCAGTGAGCCACACGCTGCCTGCAGCTGTTAAGAAGAGTAACTGGACACATACTCTGAAACTTTAATATTCCATTATAATGTGCACCTTTTGGCATATTTCTCTGGATTTTGGGTCACTTCGGACCAATTCCAGCAGGGGAAGACTTACCATTCCTGAAGTCTTTCATGCAGCCAGTATTACCTTTCACTGACTTATTGTACCTACTGTATATACAGTGTTTGGTTAGTATTGTAAGGTGAGGGAAAACACAGGTCAAGCCCAAAAGAAGAAAAGGATGGCTGTTCTCCAGAGACCTCATGTCTTTCAAGCTAAAGAAATGGGACACAGCATTTAGTTTGGCAATATGGGGGGGTGGCGACTTTGGAGGCAGCTAGTTACTCTGTCCTCGTACCCTCACATAAAATCCTTGTCTATCCACTAGTCTTTCTTGTACCTCTGTATGATGTTGTTTATGTTATGCAGTGGAGTCTCTTTTTGATGGCATTTAATTTGTTTTTTCGATTAAAGTGTGGTTTGCCCCTAAACATTGAAAGTTCAGAATTTGGTATCTGGTTGTGTGTGGTTATGTGATACTGCCTTTGTGTATGTATTTAACAGGAATGCACCAATGCCTGCTGCAATGCTAAAAATTGCACTCTGAAAGCAGGGGTCCAGTGCGCCCATGGGGTCTGCTGTGAAAACTGCAAGGTACCAGCCCCCCCGCCCATATACTGTACAGTGTACAGTATTCACTCAGTATGATAGGATATGATAGGTATGATAGTCACACCACCTCACAGCCCCCCTAGCATTATGTGTCTGGCTGCCCAGGTGGGTTTAATAAATGTCTTAACCAGTGTATCTGACTCATTTTGCACTGATCTGGCATTAGGTTGGTACAACGTGAAGTAGCTTCTGATGTAGTAAACTACTTTTGCCATATTTGTGTAACATAGCCTGCTATATTTCTATGGGTGGTAGCTTTTGTGTAGTGAAGCTTAATTTATTGTTGAGTAACTGATATAGCTTAGCTCGCTACATTTTACAAGTAGCTTTCCCAACACTGACTGATAGTCGTCGCATTTCTGATGTTTTTCTCCCACAGCTGAAGCTGGGGGGCAGCCTGTGTCGGGCCGCAGCAGGAGCATGTGACTTACCAGAGTATTGCACAGGGGCTTCGCCCTACTGCCCTTCCAACGTCTACCTGATGGATGGCTCCCTTTGCCAGAATGGCCGTGCCTATTGCTACAATGGCATGTGCTTGACACACGAGCAGCAGTGTCTGCAGCTGTGGGGGGCCGGTAGGCCTGCATTCTCCCTCCCCTCCCTTCCCTTCCCTTCCCCTCTCACCCCAAGACACATGGTGTATGTGCATCCGCCAGCATCGTTTGGAATGTTTTAACCAGAGAGAAGCATTGAGTATTTATCTCTTTGCCTGCTGAGCTTCTCATTGGGATTTCATGGGAAAATATATAACAAACATTTGAACTTATTCACTCACAGTCATGCACCACATAGCAATGTTTCAGTGAATGACACACTGCATATACAACGGTGACCCCATAAGATTATACTGTAATGGAGCTGAAAAATCCCCATCGCCTATTGACATTACATGATTACCCACACATTTGTGTTGATGGTGTAAACAAACCTACTGTACTGCCAGTTGTATGAAAGTATAGCACATATAATTATATACAGTATATAATACTTGATGAGGATAATAAACAACTATGTTACTGGTTTATGAATTTACTATACTACACTTATGGCATTTTTGAGTGCACTCTTTCTACTTATAATAAAAGTTTACTGTAGCCTAGGGTTGTAATAAGTTATACCATCTCGGTTTAGGTAAGTACACTCTATGATGTTCACACAACAGTGAAATCACCTAACCATGCATTTCTCTGAGCATATCCCCATTGTTAAGCGATGCATAACTGAAATAATTATTAACAATCATTACCAAAAAACAAATTTGATTGAAAAATTAATCAGAATCCCAAAGGTGGGTCAAATTCAGAAGGAAATTGACTGAAAAAAACCCGAATCTGCCACAAATCAATATACCCCTATATGTTTCTATTGATGCATGTTACTGTAATATTTTTTTCATGTTAAGATCTTAGATTCAACTTCAGTTGCCAGGAGTCTCAGATGGTCTTGCAGTGCAAAATAATGATAAAAAAACTTTAACAAAAATAATGTCATTTTATGAAATATGAAAGACACTTCAGTACATGTGAACTTGATCTAAATGGTATTCAGATACATTATCAGATTTCAATGCTAATGTGAAATAATTAATTCACTCTAATGTATTATCTTTACACCTCATATGGAATAAACTAAAAAAAAAATGAGATGTTCAGTGTATAGAGTATGAAGACAATTAATGCTCAGTTCAGTTCATCATGTTTTTTTTCTTCACGTGGGACTGTGAGGGCCCTAGTAGGTCAGAAGGGTCAAAAGTTTTATCTTCTAGATATTGTAGTTGGACAGATGAGCTCTTCTTTTGTTTCCAATAACTGCAGATATGGAGGAAATAATGACAATTTTAAAGTTAGTGTTACATTAGTTACATTAGGTCAATCACAGGTGCAGCTACAAAGCCATGTGTGTATAGGTCATTTAATTATTGGTCTGGTAGCTGCGGTTCTTTCTAGTTGGCCTCCTATATAAGCCGTAGTAAAGTATATCATTGATTTAATAAACTATTGTTTAACTGATAATCATTAAAATATTAGTTCATTATCATGAGTAATAATTTGTTAGATTTTATCATGTAGTATTCCATTATTAGAGAATAAAGAGTTTTCCTAGACTTTATATTGGGTTAGTTGTTGGTTGCTTGCTACAAATGCTGCAACCAAAGGTTATTTTCTAAAAATGCATCTACTGTTTTTTTCTTTAAAGAACTGTGTAAGAATATTTGCACAAAATTTACAAAATTGCATAGAAGCTCATACAGTATGTCTTCTAGCCTGTAGTAATTATTGTGACTCAGTGATAAGAACATAAGAAATTTACAAATGAGAGGAGGCCATTCGGGCCATCAAGCTCATTTGGGGAGAACTTAACTAATAGCTCAGAGTTGTTAAAATCTTATCTAGCTCTGATTTAAAGGAACCCGGGGTTTTAGCTTCCGCTACACTAGCAGGAAGACTATTCCATACTCTAACTACACGCTGTGTAAAGAAGTGCTTCCTCAAATTTGTTTTTAAATGTTCTCCTGCTAATTTTCACTTATGGCCAATTGGGAGTTCTAGTATTTAAACTCAAAAATGCTTTTCAATTCAATTTTTCAATTTTATGTATATAGCGCATTATCACAACATTACATTGTCTCAATGCGCTTTACATCTCTGCCTCATAAGGACCCTCCAGTGAGTAAGCCAAAGGCAATGGTGGCAAGGAAAAATTCCCTAAGAGGAAGAAACCTTGGGAGG